GAGCCAGTCTGTACTAGTTTCAACAAGTGTAATGATCCCTCTTTTTGGCAGGTGTGCTAAATCCTTCCTCAGCAGGTCCATCAGGGCTACTGGAACTCTGCTTCAGGAATCTCCTGGGCTGCATATGGGGGTCTCTTTCTAACTTCAGCCTGCCTTCAGGTGCCCATCTCCTTGGAACATGTCTTTAGAATCTGGTACACGTTGACTGTTCTCCCTCCTCTCTCACCTTGAGGATATTATGTGCTTGTCCTGTGATTAGACCCATGGCTTGCAGTGTCCTGTTGCCCCGCAGTGGGTGGCACTCTTGTGTGTCAATGTTATGGGATGTACAGACTCCATGCTGGCTTGGCAACTACAGGGTTAATGGAGAACTGACTACCTGCTCAGCTGGGGCTGATTGATGGCTTTGTAGCAGCTGTAAGGGTAAAAGGACTGTAAGGCAGGAGGGCAGGGTGGCTGCCAGAGAGACAGCAGGACTAGAGAGGAGATCCCTCCAGCAGGCTGGCAAGGAACTGCCAGAGAAGTCAGCCATCCAGGGAGGGAGAACCAGGGTGAGAGGTTTTGGTAAGCCTACAGAGGATTCATAGATTCATAGACTGTAGGACTGGAAGGGACCTTGAGAGGTCATCGAGTCCAGTCCCCTGCCCTCATGGCAGGACCAAATACTGTCTAGACCATCCCTGATAGACATTTATCTAACCTACTCTTAAATATCTCCAGAGATGGAGATTCCACAACCTCTTGAGGCAGTAACAACTCCTCAATACAGGTGCAAACCCTATGCACCTCGCATATGCATACAGAGGGCGGCAACAATTCCCCTAAGCCGCTCAGCATCTGACCTTGCTGCACAGTCAATAAGTTCGGATGGTGTGAGCCCAACAGGGACAGACGGCCCCATGGACAGTCCTCCTCCGACACCCCAATAGAGATTTCAAAAGGTCTCCTACCTCTATTGTGGCGCCATGGGGTTCAAAGGGGAACGATCCGTAGCAGCTGCCGGTGCCTCTGCGGGCGTTGCCATCCCGGACAAGCCCCCAAATTGTCGGAGAAAAACAGCGTTCTCACTATTTGTTTAGGTACAGCAAGTCAGATGCTTTATTAACTCTCACAATTGCGCAGAGGGAGAGAGCTAAGCAGGTCTCTCAACAGGTAAACAATTACAGCAAGCATTTATACCTTTTGTTACAGACAATAATGAGCAACAGTTGCATTTTGTTTATACATAGGCCATCTTGATATCTCATTTCTTCACTTGTTTTGACTCTTGCCAACATACAATATTTTCTGTACCTTATCTACACAAGGTCTCCTACACCTTATCTATACCAGGTCATAATGACTTCTTACACAGTTCTTTCTCACCCGCCTCACACAATCCTCGCTTCTACAAATCTCGCGTTATCAGGGTTACAGTTAGCCTGACTCTTGCTAACGAACTGTCATGTATTGCAGTTCCTTTCTGTCAGTTCTTTCTCTGCTTCCACAACTGATTGAGTGGCACTTGGTCCACACACTTCTACCATAACCACTGAACCCCCAGAGGACCCAATGTCCCCCCTGCAAAGTCCAACACAACCCCACAAGGGGCACACTCCTCCCCCCACTTTGGAACCTCTGTTTTCCTAGGCAGCAGATTGTCTTGAGCAGCCTCTGGCAAAGTGGGCGTTAGAGCTCAGCCAACTGAGAGTTCAAACCAAAACTGAGTTTTGTTTTTTCACCAAAACAAAAACCAAAATTAATAAATATGTTAATTATTACTGTCAAATAAAACATTCAGTTCGACCAAAACCAAACGCTGCTTGTTTTTTACTTCATTTTGTATAATTTTTTCAGGTCTTTTATGCCTTTTTTTTTCCAATAGCTAAATTTCAAAACAAAGCGCCATCTGGAAACAAAACTTCAAAATGTTTTGACATTTGACAACTTTTTTGCCATTGTGTTTGTTGTTGGCCAAAACAATTTTCAAAATGTGACCCAAATTCACAAATAGATTCAGTGCCTTGAAAACACATTTTTTCAGCACATTTACTATTCACCAAAAACAATTCACCAGCTCTAGTTGTTATATGTGAGACTATATGCATGCAACTGAGTCTGACAATTTGGCCACATTGAATATGTTCTAACATTTCCTGTTGTTTGGTAACTGCCTGGAGAACTAAACTGCATTGCATGTGCTCTTCAATCTATTCCAAGGATATACAGAATCTTCTGCAAAGAGCTGGGGCCTCCATGCTATAGACTGTGTTTGTCAAATTATCTGATTAAATGCTTCTTCAGTTACAGTCTCACAGAGCAGGAGGAAAGTAAATATGCCTGCATCAACTAAGAATGCATTATTTCCTCTGTTTTTGTTGCTAGATGGTTTACATCATGGGCAGGAATCACAGACTCCACAAGCCCCAAAGTTAGGGGTGAAAGTTGGTGTAAAGCAGGAGCAGAAACAAGAGACTCAAGGAGCCCCAGCGCCAGGGGAGAAGGATGGTTTAAATCTGGAGCAGGAATCAGCAACTCAGCGAGATTCAGAGCCAAGGGAGAAAGAACCTCCTACAGGTAGTGCCTCTTATAATGTGGCTTTAACTGTCCATAATTTAACTTTGATACTTTTAACTAATGCAATATAATATTATTTGATTTACAAAAACCTTCTCGTCTCTCAGTTTCTCTTCTTGTACCACGCAGTGCCAATCCACAGTAAAGCAGCATTTGATTTTTGTCCTCTCTGTGGGTAACTTCTTTTCACCCTCATTTTTCTCTGTTCCTCTCCTACCAAATGGCTATCGTGAAAGTAATGTAGTCGACAGCATGGTGACCTCTGACAGCAATTCTGGGCCCCAGGGAAGAACATTCGATGGGCCCTCTACGACACGGTCCGCCTGACATTTGGGCGGTGCTGCGCCTGTGCTGCTGGCATGTTCCTTTTTTTTTTCCCATCCAGTGAGCAATAAATTTTGTTATGTGCACTGAGGTATGTGCAGATGTGCGCCACCAGTAGAAACAAAAAAGCCAATATATATATATATATAGTTACCATAGGGATAATTGCTCCAGCCGGGACAGGTTAGGCATTTTAGAACTCACTACTCAAAGAATTAAATTGTAAGTGTAAGAGAAATAATAATTATGAAATGCGTAGACCAGTCAAAACACTAAAATAACACACTTGAAAAGAATAAAATTGCAGAGAATATATGCGTATTGCAGGAAGTACCGAGAAGTAGCAACAACAATAATACAAGGAGGTGAATGTGAAAGAGAGAGAGAGAGAGAGAGAGATGGCTGCTGGGAAAATCTCAGAATCAGTGCACTGTCTCTTTAAGAAAGCCAGGCACTTACCTTAGAGTAGACTTCAGCAGCTCCAAGTCCTCCTGAATCAGGCTGTCGTGTCCCCTCTCCCCTGCTCTGTGGAGATGGGGTACAGAGGCAGGGGGACACCCTGACATCAGCTACCCCCGGCTCTACACAGCTAAGGCAAGGGTCCCGGGAGCAGCAGCAGGATGGAGCAAAGTGGGGGAGGGGCACCACTGAACACATGCTGCCAGCTGTGCTCTGCTGTAATACCTCATTGTCTGAGCATATGGTTAAATTGCAGTTTAACCCTAAATTAGTAAACTAGGCAGCTATCGCTTCCTGTTTAGTTCTCTTCTACAATGTAATTCTCATCACATTTCTGTCTCTGTCCTGAAATTAAAATGAAGGACTGGTTTTCCATCAAAACAAACAAACAAACAAAAAAAACCCAGAAAATTGAAATATGTAACGGTGACAATTTCAAACTCTGAACTGTGCCTTCACACTTTAATATCTTTCTGCAGTGAAAAGAAAAACACTTCTGGAAGTTCTCTCAAATTTAAACCTGGATCAGCACAGAAACAGCAAGCTGAAGCCAAGGACTGTCCTGGAAATCAGCCAAGAAAGTACAAAGACCAGCACTCCTGAGTCATTAACAAAGTTACCTTGGCACTTCCTAAGAAAGGTGATGGCTCTGAATGTGATGGCAAGAAACACAAGCCTTGTTCAAAATGCTGATGAAGAAAATGATGACGATGAGGAAGAGCTGGATACGATGGAGGATTTGTTTTTTCAAAATGACACTGACACATGTGATTATCTCAATCCACTTGATGTTCTCTGCGCCGTACTGCTTTGCTCAGACAGTTTCCTACACCAGGAGATCCTGTTAAAAATGTCCATGTGCCAGTTTGCCCTCCCTCTGCTGCTACCTGCCCTCGACACCCCCACGTGCACCCTAATGCTGTGGGCCATGAGGGACATTGTGAGGAAGTGGAGGCCGCACTCCCTGGCAGAGAGCAGAGGGTTCAGAGAGGAGAGCCTGGTGCTCACAGCAATGCCAACCATTTCCTTTGTGCGGCTGGGGAGCTGCAGCTTCTCCAAGTCCCAACTCCTCAATGAGGTTCTCAGCCCCTCCCAGCAGCACCACGATTTCTTCATCCATCGGGACATGGAGTCTGGGAACGTCCCTCGGGAAATCGCAAATGGGCTGGTCGAGATTTCCTGGTATTTCCCTGCTGGGTTGGAGAACTCAGATCTGTTCCCAGAGCCCATCGCGGTAACAAACCTGCGCGGAGACATTGAGTCGCACCAGCTGCAGTTTCGCTTTTTAACACAGGTCTCCTCAGCTGTGTTCATAGTTACTGAGAGCATCAGTGAGAGAGAGCATGCACTGTTATCATCTCTGCAGGGATCAGTTACTAAATGCTACTTTATCCTCAGTTCCCCCACTGGGAAACATAATGAAATACCGGGACTCTTTAAAAAGTTACCAGAGCTATCGCAACTGAAACAGCCACAAATACTAATGAAAAACAGCAGCAACAATAAGGCAGCGTTTTTGAAAAAAATCCAATCCATCATAAGAAACATAATAAAGTCTCCTCCCATAATAGAAGATTTGGAGCACATGGCTGTGACAGCACGTGAACTAGGAATCCAGGTGGATGAGGACTGTGAGGAATGTCAGAGTGCGAGCAAGTGTGCGAAAGAGATCACTGAGGAAATACAAGATGTAGTATCATACAAAAGGAAAGAACTGAAACTCCAAGGGGAACTCTGGAAAAATTTGGCTAAGGTAGAGAAGGAGCTTTGTCAAATGAAAGGACGAAAAGACACCAACCCTGAGATCTATAAATCTCAACTGAAAGAGAAAATATCAGAGTTACGCACACAGCAGAATAAATGTGACCTTCCTGATACTGTGAAGAGATTTATTGGTGGGATAAGTCCACTACCTCAAGTTGAAAGATATTTCCTCAAATGGATGAAATTTTATCTGGATCACATTGCTAGGGAAAACCTTTCTAAGCTGAAGGATCTGTATAAAGAAAACTGTAAAGGTGATGACCCCCAAAAGTTAGCAACATTAGATAAGTCAATTTCTGATAGTTCCTTAGGGGTGGAGCATTTCATGCGTGAGTTGGGGCAGTTTTATGAGGCTGAATGTTCAATGGTCCAGGAAGGCAAAATACTAAAAAGCCAAGGGAAATACACCCATCTCCCAGGCATAGCAGCTGACCTGATGCTGGAAGGGTTTCCCATGGAGCTGATCGATGGGGATGCCTCCAACATCCCACTGCAGTGGGTGACAGATGTTCTGACTGAGCTCCATGCCAAGCTTGGGGGAAGGTCCAGAATGGTGGTTCTAACGGTGCTGGGAGTGCAGAGCACTGGGAAATCCACTCTCCTCAACACCATGTTTGGCCTGCAGTTTGCAGTGAGCAGTGCCCGATGTACGCGAGGAGCCTTCATGTCACTCATTAAAGTGGCAGAGAACTTTCGGCAGGAGCTGGGCTGTGATTTCATCCTGGTGATAGACACCGAAGGCCTGAAAGCCCCTGAAATGGCCAAGCTTGAAGACAGTTATCAACACGACAATGAGCTGGCCACACTGGTGATTGGCCTGAGTGACATAGCAATCATTAACATGGCCATGGAGAATGCCACAGAAATGAAGGATGTTCTCCAAATTGTGGTCCATGCCTTTCTCAGAATGGAGGAAATAGGACAAAAATCCAACTGCCAGTTTGTGCATCAAAACGTCAGTGATGTGTCTGCGCATGAACAAAACATGAGGGACAGGAAACACCTCCTGGAGCAGCTGAATGAAATGACCAAAGCTGCAGCCAGGATGGAAAAACAACACAGAGAAATTGTGTTTTCTGATATTATGGACTATGATCCAGAGAAACACAATTGGTACATCCCTGGCCTGTGGCATGGAGTCCCTCCTATGGCTTCAGTGAACACCGGTTACAGTGAGAGGGTTTTTGGATTAAAGAAATATTTGCTTGAATTAATAAGAAGCCAAAATAGATCCCCCAGGGACATTCCCCAGTTTATTGAATGGGTGAGGAGTCTGTGGAACTCTGTAAAACACGAGAACTTCATCTTTAGCTTCAGAAACAGTCTTGTAGCTGAAGCCTACAACCAGCTGTCAGTGAAGTATGCAGAGTGGGAATAGGGTTTCCGCAAGAAGATGCATCTTTGGGTATCGGACAAAGAAACTTACATCCAAAATCAGCCACCAGATAAACTAGACATTAGTGCCTTAACCAAACTAAAGAGTGAGTCACAGGAGAAACTGGGCAAAGAAAGAGATAAGATTTTGGATAATTTGAAACAATATTTTGAAAGTGGAGCAGCAAATCTGCACCTGGTTGAAAAGTACAAGGAAGATTTTAGTATGAGTGCAAAGGCCCTCAAAAAAGAACTTGAAACTTACTCAGTCAAGAAGTGTGAAGAAGCTATTCAGATTCAAAAAGGCAGACACAAGATGGACAATATCCAGGCTGATTACATGAAAAGAATTGAAGGGAAAGTTGACAGGCTCTTGGGAGAGTGCAAGGAGAAAGAATGTAAACTAGATGTTGAAGAATTGGAGAAAGAATTTGTAAATATGTGGAGAAATACAATATCTGAGCTAGCTAGGAATTTTGCTTTACCAAAACGGCAAATTCATGAGGATATGGAGATACAACTGAGAAAGGAACTGGAGAATCGAGGTAGCGCCGTCAATCAGATGCTGCAAGAAGTGAAAAGCTTGTTGAATTATAAAATAAATGCATTCAAGATGAAAAATGAGTATATAGACTTACTGGGGACCAGATCTACAGAAAAATCATTCAAAGAGGAAAGCTGATATAAAGCAGAGGAACTTGCTAACTCCTTAATGGACCAGTGCAGGACTTACATAGAGAAAAAGGTGAATTCAAAAGTTGACTATGATGAAACCTTTTGTAGAGAATTGCTGCATATGATCAATGAGAGGCTCAAAAATGAAGATGTTAAAAAGCTTCGAACTAGCACTTCCTTTGAAGTAGACCTGAAGCTTCATATTTTGGGGGAAGTTGCTCGTGCATTTCAGAAGATGCATGATGATTTTATTAAAGAAAACAATGTTCAGCAACGTTTGGAGAAATTGAAACCTCAGTATCTCTCCACATTTAGAGACCTTTACCAAGAAAAAGATGCTTGCCAAAATAAGGCCAGGGATTTCTGTGATCAGTGTCTTGAACCTGCACTCATGCAGTATATTAACAAGAGACTTGGAATAGAAATAGTGGATGAGTTACTGAGCAGTGGACAATCGATTCAATACGGCAGCCGCAACTTTTTCCAGTTCACCTTGCTGAAGAGGCTGTTAGAAGAGAAGGATTTTGAGAACTATGTGAAATACATTAATAGCTATGAAGAGTTTGTCAAAACCTGGATATGGAAGCACCTTTCAGATCACTATAGAGAGGCCAAGGGCTTGGGAGATTTGGAGCAAAAGATTCTATCCACCATAATGAATAAAGTGAAGGATATTCTGAAAAACTCTGGAGATGAAAACACTAAAACAGTCTCTGTCTTTTTAGACAACTTTTGCGAAATTTTGCACCAGGACTTAGTCATTTCCAAGGACAGTTTAGCAGGGGTACTGTTTAAAAATACGGCTACAAGCGACCAGTTTTCTGATGTTATTCAAACCTACCTTTGCCATCTGGAATCACGAATCTTATCCAAATTGAAAGATGTGAAAATTGAGTCCAAACTCTCCAGTCTGCCAGTGAAGCCCCAGGATGAAATCTTCAAGCGAGTGTTTGGCTGTGGGAAGCAGTGTCCGTTCTGTAAAGTGTCCTGTGAAGCGGGTGGCAATGATCACAAAGAACACTTTGCATCAGTGCATCTACCTCAGGGTTTGGCACGATACAAGAATCAACACACCAAAAAGCTTGACTGCTCTTTATGCTCATCTGATGTGGTTTCTACCAAGGAATTTAAAATACCAGATTCCAATGGGATATTTCATGCCTATAAAGATTATCGGCGATATTACCCAGACTGGCGCATTCAGCCGGATAGCAGCATCAATGCTTCTGATTATTGGAAGTTTGTGTTTAAGCTGTTCAATAACCAGTTTGCTGAGAGGTACCATGCTGAGCCAGCCGATCTCCCAGATGACTGGAAAAAACTAACTGAAGAGAGAGCCTTGCACAGCATAAAGGAGGCTTATGGAATGAAATAAAATCTTCAGTGGGAAATAACCAAAACTCTCTTTAAATGAGCCGGACAATACCTAGAGGATGTGTGGAGAGGAAACCCAGGGAACTTTTTACATTTTAATAAAATAAAATGTACAAAATTCCCACCTTTAGAAGTAAAGACAGAGATATAGCTTGTGTCAGAGATTTATTTCTGTCATTTTACCTTACTTATTTAGTATTTGTCTTATTTTTATTTTTTTACATAATTAAAGAGGATTGAGGTACCAAAGCTGAAGATTCTGATATTGCCTTTTAATGATGGATCTGCATTTCACTGAAGCAATTATTGTACCAGGTGACCAGTTAATCCATCAACCATAGATCAACTCTCCACCTCTTCTACTTATATGGATCAGGTGACAGAATTAATTCAAGTATTGGTGAAAAGCTAACCTGTTTCTTACACAAGCCCAATGAGCCAAATTCATCTCTGGTGAAACACCACTAATTCGACTGGGAAATGCGCTTCTGAAAAATTAGGCCACTTTTAATTAGATGCCTAAATATTAGGGCTGTCGATTAATCACAGTTAACTCATGCAATTAACTCAAAAATTAATCACATTTTGATCGCAGTGTTATACAATAGAATGCCAATGGAAATTAAATATGTTTTACTATATTTTAAAACATATTGATTTCAATTACAACACAAAATACAGAGTTTATACTGCTCACTTCATATTATTTTTGATTACAAATATCTGCATTGTAAAAATGATAAACAAAAGAAACTGTATTTTTCAGTTCACCTCATACAAGTACTGTAGTGCAATCTCTTTATCATGAAAGTGCAACTTACAAATGTAGATTTTTTTTTGTTACATAACTGTACTCAAAAACAAAACAATGCAAAAATTTAGTGCCTACCAGCCCACTCATTCCAACTTCTTGTTCAGCCAATCGCTAAGACAAACAAGTTTGCTTACATTTATGGGAGATAATGCTGCCCACTTCTTATTTACAGTGTCACCAGAAAATGAGAATAGGCATTCATATGGGACTTTTGAAGCCAGCATTGCAAGATATTTATGTGCTAGATATGCTAAATATTCGTATGCCCCTTCATGCTTCAGCCACCATTCCAGAGGACATGCTTGCATGCTGATGATGCTCGTTAAAAAAGTATTAATTCAATTTGTGATTGAAGTCCTTGGGGGAGAATTATATGTCTCCGGCTCTATTTTACCTGCATTCTGCCATATATTTCATGTTATACTAGTCTCGGAGGATGACTCAGCACATGTTCATTTTAATAAAACTTTTGCTACCGATTTGACAAAACGCAAAGAAGATACAATGTGAGATTTCTATAGATAACTACAGTACTTGACCCAAGATTAAAGAATCTGAAGTGCCTTCCAAAATCTCAGAGGGATGAGTTGTGGAGCATGCTTTCAGAAGTCTTAAAAGAGCAACACTCCGATATGGAAACTACATAACCTGAACCACCAAATGCTGGTGGCATCTAACTCAGCTGATGAAACTGAACATGCGTTGGTCTGCACTGCTTTGGATTGTTATCGAGCAGAACCCATCATCAGCATGTACACATGTCCTCTGAAATGATGGTTGAAGCATGAAGGGACATACGAATGTTTAGAATATCTGGCACATAAATATTTTGCAACGCCGGTTACAATAGTGCCATGCGAACACCTGTTCTCACTTTCAGGTGACATTGTGAACAAGAAGTAGGCAGCATTATCTCTTGCAAAGGTAAACAAACTTGTTTGTCTGAGCAATTAGAACCTACAAGTCCACTCAGCCAAAGTTTTACATTGTTTTATTTTTGAATGCAGTTTTTTGCACATAATTCTACATTTGTAAGTTCAACTTTCATGATAAAGAGATTGCACTACAGTACTTGTATTAGGTGAATTGAAAAATGCTATTTCTTTTGTTTTTACAGTGCCAATATTTGTAATAAAAAGAAATATAAAATGAGCCCTCTACACTTTGTTTACTGTATTATAACTGAAATAAATATATTTAGAAATATAGAAAACATTCAAAAATATTTAAATACATGGTATTCTAGTATTGTTTAACAATGCGATTGTTATTACTGTGTATCTCCGATTAAGATTATCGAATGTAGTTATTGGATTTCTGCTTTCCCAAAGTAATTATTATGTAGTTAGTGTGGTGAGATCTCATCAGTCCAAGGCAAACAAAGCAACGACTCATATAGTTTAATGAAAGGCTAAATTGGATGTCTCTCCCTAAAACATAAGTTACCTGAAAGCTTTGAGGAAAGGATTTTTTTTTCTGGGTGGAGACTACTGAACTTTAGTACTAAGAGCCCATCTGTCACTTACTCTATGAACTGTGTTTTGTTTTCCAATCCTGCCACAAAGAAATCATTCAACTTTACATTTATTCTTAACAAATAAAACTGAAAATGCTGCAATTGGCTGATGTTGGTTTATTCTGTGGCTGTCTCGTTTGTGACTTTGTGCCATGACTGTTACAGATCTGGTTGGGTTTCCCTTTCTCGTGAATGAGGGCCCGCAGCTGGGCCTGGGATTAGTTAGCTAACCACAGCTGAAATCCTTAATTGGCCAGATAGCCTGATTGGATGAGCAGCATTGCCAGGACTGCTCTGAAGCCCAGCAATTACACTTGGTCAGTGGCTGCTTCATGCTTATGCCCACAGCTGCAATAGCGCCTGTGCTTGCCTTGTTCTCAGCCTTGCTCCTGCCTTGCTCCAGTCCTCTCCAGCCCTGCTCACTTGCTCGGTTTCTGACTCCTGCTCCCTCCCTTGGCTCCGACTCCTGGAGCTTGGCTCCAGCTCTGACCACTAAGCCTGACTGCCTAATTCCTGGTCCCTGACACCCCTGCTGGCTGCCCACCAGTCTCCTGTGAAGGGAATCCAGACCCTGGTTTCCCCATGTGAAGGTTCCCGGGGTCTCATCAGGCTGCAGCACTGTCTGTTCCCTTGGCATGTCTAACACATTTCCTAAGCACCAACTCTCAGTTTGTTACCCCTTCACATGAATGAAGTCCCTCAGGTCACCTATCTTAGGTGCTCATGTCCAGCGCTGACTCTCAGAATACTCCAGTAGCTTAAACATGCCCACTCCCAGAATGTGCGGTGTGAGCTTTCTGGGTTTGTTTAACTCTCTTCAAGGAGCACGTAATAGTTGTACCCTACAACACATATCAATTCCTTGCAAAAAAAAAACAAACCAAAAAACCTCACCTACATGCCTTTGCCTGCCTCAGTTTCCTCATCACTCTAGAGCATTCTTTGGCCTGGGTTCGGAGTCCCTTGAGTCATCTACAGTTCTACTCCAGAATTCAAAACACATACAGACAGACTCCACAAAATCATTACAGTGACATTAAGGAAAGGAAGAATTTTCAGCTGGGCAGGACGGTGGCATCCCCCATGCAAAATGCTTCCTCTTTGACTCTGCCCCACACCGACAATCCATTGGCTGTATGCATCTCACTAATGCCTATTCCAGCATTCCACTTGACTCCCTTCTCCTGCACAATATAGAAGGTAGTGAAATGGGCTATGAAAGGCACCAAAGCTATGATGGGGAGAGCAGAGATCCTTTATCGGGTGGTAAGGGCTATGCAGATCTGTACTGAGCTTTGGTGATTACTGATGAGAAAAATATTCTCCAGGTGCATAGAGGGATGGGACAGTGTGACATCCCCCAGGGTACAAGCTAGACTGTTGAATTATTGTGTCCCCTTAATTCTCTAGCCCAGGTTGTTTCCAACACTGCTGTGCCAGTGAAAACCTTCAGGTTTTGCTCTCAAACAGCCATCAGCGTGTGAAGGTACACCCAGCCAAGTTATATGTGTGACGGATTGGATCACAGGAACCCCCTTGGAAGCTGCCACCCGATGTGCAAAGACTACCTCTGCTCTGTTTTCCCTGCCAGCTTAGGACTCCAGCACCGTCTTGCTGAGCCAGACACTCCCGTCTGACTCCAACACAGACCCAGGGTCTGAATCACTTGCCCCAAAGCTGCAAGTTTACCTGAAAACAGCTCACAGAAGTGTGCTTGTCTTTAGCACTCAGATGCCCAACTCCCAATGGGGTCTAAACCCAAATAAATCCCTTTTACCCTGTATAAAGCTTATGCAGAGTAAACTCGTAAATTGTTCGCCCTCTATAACACTGATAGAGAGCTATGCACAGTTGTTTGCTCCCCCAGGTATTAATACATACTCTGAGTAGATTACTAAACAAAAAGTGATTTTATTAAATACAGACAGTAGGATTTAAGTGGTTCCAAGTAGTAACAGACAGAACAAAGTAAGTCACCAAGTAAAATAAAATAAAATGCGCAAATCTATGTCTAATCAAACTAAATATAGATAAGTTCCTCACCAGTTTCAGAATGCTCCCTTTTACAGGCTAATCTCCTTTTAGCCGGGGTCCAGCAATCACTCACACCCCTGTAGTTACTGTCCTTTGTTCTAGTTTCCTTCAAGTATCCTGGCAGGATGGAGAGGCTCCTTCTTTAGCCAGCTGAAGACAAAATGGAGGGGTCTCCTCCGGGTTTAAATAGACTCTCTCTTGTGGGTGGAGACCCCCCATCTCCCTCCTATGCAAAGTCCAGCTCCAAGATCGAGTCCTGGAGTCACCTGGGCAAGTCACATGCCCCTGCATGACTCAGTCTTTACAGGCCGAAGCCATTGTCCACATGGTATCTTGCATGTCTCCAGGAAGACTTCTTATGTGGATTGGGGCATTCCAAGATGCATTGTTCCCCAAGTGTTTCCTGATCAGGTACTTAACCTGGTAAATTCCTTCCTAAAGAAGCTGACCAAATGCCTCACAAAGCTTACTTAGAAATCAGGCAAGCATACAGCCCATATTCTTAACCTCAAGTAGAAAATGATATATATATGTACAAATAGGATGAATAGATATAGTAGACCATAACCTTTGCGGAGATATGTTACATGGCACAGGCAGCACAAAACATATTCCAGTTATGTCATACATACATTTATAAACACCCCCCCCATAAAGCCTTATGGGGTACACTGTCACAATATGAATGCTCTCTTAGGCCTTGTCTACACTACGAGAGTAGTTCGATTTTACTTGCATCGAATTTTTGTAATCGATATTGCAAATTCG